GAAACACAGGAAAGGGAAAAAAAAAAAAAAAAACAACGAAACAAAACAAAATAGGAGTGACACACTTTATGTTATGACACAATATACTCTGGTGAGCTACGGTCCTCCCTAACCTCTAAAACAAGTTAGAAAAACTGCTGTATTTGTTGGAGGTTTTTTTCTTTTTTTTTTTTTTCCTGGATGGCTCTGAGCCATAAGCACAGGAACTTGGGAGAAAAAAAGAATAAAAACAACAACAAACAGCAGAGACAGAAATCCATCTTCTCTACCACATCTATCAAATGTGGGTTTACCATCAAGGAAAAGTTTGTGCAGAGGAAAGGTTTAGAGAGCCTTGGTTTTAATTCCACAGCACTGGAAACCGCCACATTTGCAGCTCAGGCATGAGGTATACTCACAGGGTACCCCAGACAGAGCCTGGCACAACAGAGTGTGCTGCTTAGCACCTCTGTATTCTCATCTGTCCCCTAATCCCACATTTCATATTGTTGTAGTTGTCACAGAAGTTTCTGGTGCTGGCTAAGAACAGTTAGTCTCTGGGAACTGAACATTAATCTCCAACATCATAACACTAAATATGCAAGAAGTAACAGGAAGGGGGGGGGAATACACAAAAGAACTGGAAGAATGGGTGTAACAGACTGGGAACAGAGATACAAAGATAATGACAAAAATTACTCATACATCGCACTTACCTTCAGCAACATCATCATCCACCATCAGCTTGAGGCTCTTTCCTCGCCGAACTACCCGGACAGTGTGCCACTCGTTGTCATTGAGTTTCTGCCCAGCATAGAGAGTTTCAGGTCCCTTGCCTGGGGATGGTGATAGGCAAGACAGTTAAAGCCAGACCCTCAATGAGTTTAGTTATTTGCTCAATGGGAAAAGTCACCAAAATCAACCTGGTGCGATACAGACTAGTAGATTGCATAGGTGTATTATGACCTGTATCAACCCTCACACCTACATCTTCCTGGCTCGGAGAAAAGTCAGGGTCACAAAGTCTTCCACTCAGTGAATTACCTTCCTCCGCAGAGCCCAGAGGCCACATGCATTTAAACAGGGGTAGAAATCTTTCTTGTGCTATATTTCCTTCCAAACATCACATCGTACAGGGCACGGCAGTATTAGAAAAACAAGCTGGTGACAGAAATGTCTCTAGAGCAGAGCCATCACAGCAGATTTTTGCTCTCCTAAGACTCTGGATTTACAACAGCCCCAAGGTGCTTAGTATTCTTTTCAAAGTTAATCACACTGGTCCCTCAACACTTAAGTATCAAACACCAGGCTGGTTTCAGTCTTTCAATGTCACCTACCCCCACCTCCCCGAAAAACCCACAAAACAAAACACACACACAAAAAAAAACCAAACCACAAAACCTTAAACCCCACCCCTCAAAAATAAAAAAAAAAAATAAAGCCACAAAAAGACAAGCAACCTGGCTGATTGCTCTAAGTTTCTTTGGCAAAGCAGCCTGGCTATACGGCCCTTACTTAACCCTCCAGAATTTCAAGTCAAAAGGCAAAGAAGAGCTTTCTGCTCCAAAAGGTAAAGCCACAGTTTCCCTTACAAACAATGCTCCTGGGAAAATAGCATTAGTGCTACCCATATTTGTCCAGTTTTGCTGCTCACCCACCACAGTTGACAGGTAATTACTTAAAACATTAATTGTTCAGATTACAGTCCTGGAACACCTCACTCACGTTAAATGATAAGTGAAATTGAATAATGGTGTATGCTAAATTAAAAGCATCTATGATCATTTTGGTACAATACTAGAGTGGCTTTTGACAGCTATATCAGAGAAATGCAGAGTCAGGACAGCCGAACTTGTTGCATATCAGGTCTGGGGCCACTGCTCAAACTGGCAAAAGGGGAACCCAAGAAAAGAAAAGCAAGACACACTGAATACATTAAGACAGACAGGACAGGAACAACGAGGCACTGATACAGCTCAGCTTACTGCACTGGCAAAACTAATGTCAGATACACAAATTATTTGTCTGTGTTTGTTCAACACAAGCAAATCGATCTTTTTATTCGGATAGCCCATGATCAGCATTTATTTTGACCTTTCAATGAACTGGTTACTCAACACAGAATAAAATGTTGTACATGTCTTCAAGCAAAACTCTGCACAAGGGAATGCACCCACTCTGATCTATGTCATGGTGCAGACTAACAAATAAGAGTGGCATATTTCATAGTGAGACAGAATTGAAGGAAGGAAAATACACACACTGCGTAATTAGCAACACTACTGTAACTGCTTCTTACTATGGGGGAAACATGTGCAAAGAAGGTGGTGTCTCATTCAGCTAGGATGTAACACATGTTGTTATATCATGTTATAACCTGTATAGGGAAATCCTATGGAAGCAAACCAAGGCAAAATGAATATTCTGTTATTATCTTTAAAGGATCATCCAGTCCACGTTAATAAAAAAACGAGTTTAGTTGAATAAAATAAAGCCCATTGCTAGCCAGTTTTACAATAGAGAAAGAGGGAAAAAAAAATGTTTTTCTTCAGTGACCCAAAAAATAAAAGTGTCATTCTTGGATTAAACAGAGAGGGAGTCATATATTGCAGTTACAGAGAACATCTCCTTAACAGGAGAAACCCGTAACCTTTGCAGTTCCTCACCCATGTGCCAAAGTCACACTGTATCATGAATGTAAATCTAGCTGTACAATGCACATGGATCGTGGCCAGAAAGCTTAAGTTCTTTGGAATCAGACAAGCAAAACTCTATTTAATAGACAGTTATGCTAGATGTACATCACCGAGTGAGTACATTTTATCCCAGAACACATATCACAAAATTATGTCTCTGGGTGGCCAGCAAAATTACTGCCTACATCAAAACATACTGTATCAGTTATTATAGTTCCACACAGCCACTTCCCATGCAGGAAGATAAAGGAATTCATCTGGACCTGTGTGTTTCTATAATGCCACCTGAAAGCATGGGTGGCAGGGAGAGGAAGGGGGCAGTAAACACTTTTTAAAAAAAAAAAACAAAAAAAAACCAACAAACCCAACAAACCTTTCCACAGGCCTAGAGCTACGGAGTGCTCAGCCAAGAGAAGATGTGCTGACTTTGTTCAGCTGACAATACAATGCTTTCTACGCAGCAGCTCTGTGTTCAACATGGTTGAGTAACTCAAAGTTACAGACCTGGTTCCCACTTTTCAACCCTAGCCTGACAAAACAGGGATTGGTCAAAACGAGCTGGTTTGGCTTGTCATTGCTATCTTGAGTCCCACTGTAACACCTTCAAAACAAAACTGTGACACCAACAGAAGTTATCTGATGATTCTCAGAAAAATGTAGCTTAACCAGTTCACAAATAAATGAGTAGCAAGTTTCAGCTCTCCAACTTCTTCCAAATGAATAAGAATGTCTAGAAATTACATTTAAAGTAACTGGTTAATAGTTTGGGCTAATATATTTGAAAATTAAGCACAGCAGATGCAAATTACTGCATGTTATCTGAGTTCATGTCTTGATCAGCCAATTTAATATTTTATCAGTAGAAAAAAAAAAGTATTAGGAGCTTTTAATACTTCTGTTTACTCACAAACCTCCATTTTGTATGCAACAATGGGCACTGCCTCATTTTGGTATGGTTAGCCAAATAACACTACATACAAAACTTCATTACATAAGCATGCTCAAGAGCATCCAGATAAGTTTCTCAAATCAGACGTATTTGAGTTTTTTTAAAAAAGAAGTGTTAAACATTATTTTACTCTATTTAAACGATTTCTTTTCAAATGCTTTCAAGACATTTATGCAGGAGGAGGGTTGACCTGAAAAGCAGCAAAATTGTGCCCCCATTCTGCATTTGCACAACGGCAGTTGAATTCCTGCTTCTTGTGTGAGCTCCCACAGAATTCCAAGTGGTTCCAGGAACTGTATATAAAGGGACTCCCACACCTGGATGCTAAACTTCATGTCATTGAGCACAATTACTGCATGTGCTGTTACTATACAGACATTTATGTGTAATCAATATTTAAACTTGAAGATTCCTAATTTAACAGTTGCAGACGCTGGGGGGGAATAGAAAGCAAACAGCCACATATAGCAGAAGGCTAATTCTCTCCAAGTACCATCTCCTACACAGCAAGGCACTTCTGTAGTCCTACAGCTAAACACACAGAACCAAGTGTTTAGACCAAAGTTGGTGGGGGTTTTGTTGTTTTGTAGGGGCTTTTTTCCCTCCTTTCAAGTTATCTGCACCTATGTCATACTTCAACTAGGATAATCCAGATGCAGGAAGACGCAAAGCAGAAGGTTAGCTGGACGGGGTAGGGGAAAGTCAAAGATTTGTATCTTGCCTTTGTGTGACATCTTTTTGTGATAAAAGACAAGGAAAGACGCAGCAATGTTACAAGCTGGATGTCTGGAAACACCCTGTTTATAATACTTTTGAATATTTATAGTATATCTATTTATAGCAGTTTTGAGGCAGTTGGGCACCAGGTAATTTTCACAATTTATTTTATTTTTATGAGTGAGAAAAGTAAAAGACAATACAACAGGAAAAAGAATAAGAAAGTTTCTACTGTAGCACTAATTTAACAGTTAAGCTGCCACAGCATGACTCCTGTTGTGTCTCTGGCCTTCTTGGTTATTCCATCCCCCTTCCTGGGGAAGTCCTCTAAGGAACTGTGTATCATACAGAACTGACTACCACTCATTTGCAAACCCAAATGAGGCAGACTAGTACGTATTCCTTTGGTGCTCTGCAGTGGCAAACACTACTTAATCAGATGCAAAAGTATCTCTGGCATCCCCATATTCGGGACATTAGTCGAGCTGCAGCTCAGGCTTCTTGAGCAAATATTACTTGATTCAGCTGCAGCAACTCCTCCTCATGCACTCATGAATCCTTTGACACCTACTCAAAACTTGTGTGCATATTGATCATAAAAAACAGCTCGTGTATGCTTTCAAACTGAAGGTACTCCATCCAGGATGTTCCAATCATTCTCTCTACAGCAGAGGTGCACTGCGGCTAATTAATCACTTGGCCCAAACAGACTATATACAAGTGCCAAGAACAGACATGCCAAAAAAGAATCAAAAAGTAGTTCATGCCTTCTGAAAATGCCAAGTTGCTTTCCATGTGGCCCCCAAGAACTCACTCATTTAGAACCAACAACTGGTCAGAGGGATGCAGTTAAAACAATAGCTCTGAAAACACCATCTGTTATCCACCCTCAGAGGTTAACACCACACAGAACTTTCCTCCTATGAAAGGGAAAGGAGAAAAGAGGGTTAATCCCCTCACCACTCCCTTACAGGTGGATCAAAAAGCATGCTTTTGCCCTTGGTGCAGGCCGCCATTATCTGATCTGTCTCTAGGATTAAACCAATCTTCACGAAGCCAGGGTATCTTCATTATTGCACATCTTATCCAACATTACAGGAGAGGTCAAACATTGAAGTCTCCAGAATGGCAGATGACCAGAAAGGAGATTGACAGATTGACAAGAATAGAAAAGGCTCTTCCTCATGACAACTACAACGATAAATAATTCTACAGTGACACACTTATGCTTTTTAGTGAAGACCCTCAGTAACAATAAAAAGGTTTCATCTGCTTTTTTCTTTTTAATTAAAATACTCAGCTGCCATTTCAGCCTGGTTCAGTGGCAAGATGAATTTTTGTGTCTGTTTTATACAGGGCAAAATCCCTCAGGAAACATCCCAAGTTAGGGAGGGGTTGGGAAGGTTCTTTGCCTTTTGGGGGCAGCAGGGGCATTGGCTATTTTTACTTACTGTTTTACAAAATTACCAGACAC